GAGTTTCTTCTCCATTCTTCAGACATCAGCAGAAAGAGGTTCTTCCTTAATGGAAAATCTAATTCATCTTATCCTAGAGTTAAAAGAAAAAGTGAAAAAATAAGTGTTTTACTTTGGGGAGATGCTCTTTAATCTCACCCATTTTAATCTAAATTTGACTTAACGTTCCCATTTGGTTGAGCAGAATGTAAGAGCCATACCCATGTCATCCCAGTAACCGGAAAAGCCACTACTCAGTCTTCCAAACTCTCACAACTGAAGCATAGTTTCCAGACAAGGAGCATCAGCATCACCTGGGAGCTGGTTGGAAATGCAGAATCTCAGACCCTACCCCAGACCTACGGCATCAGGTCTGAATTTTATTGAGATACCACGTGATTTGTAGGCACATTCAAGCTTAGCACCAGACTAGACAACGACTTTTTTTTTTTTTTTCCTGGCTTGTTTTATGGCACAGAATAAGAAGGAAACGATAAAAGGTTTTTTGTCATCAACCATTTGTTTGTGTCTCAAACAAATGTGTCTCATTTGTTTGAAACACAAATTTGTTTGAGACACAGTCTTGCTCTGTCACCCAGGCTGGAACGAAGTGGCTCAATCTTGGGTCGCTGCAACCCCCGCCTCCTGGGTTCAAGTGATTCTCATTCTTCAGCCTCCCGAGTAGCTGGGACTAGAAGCGTGCATCACCCCACCTGCTAATTTTTGTATTTTTAGTAGAGACGGGGTTTTGCCATGTTGACCAGGCTGGTCTTGAACTCCTGGCCTCAAGCGATCTGCCTGCCTTGGCCTCCCGGAATGCTGGGATTGATAAAAGTAAATGAATAAAACCTCTTAGTGTGATGAAAGCAGTAGACGATTCACAGTCTCTAATGGAAACATGCTTTAGAACTACAGTTGGACGATCATAATTCTAAATTTAAACTTTAAATGATGTGTATTATATGTTGGAAGAGTCCTAACTACCATGATCACATCGTTCATGAGAAAGAGAAAAAAAAAAAGCACAAGTGAATTGTTTAAATTGACCGTGAGATTTGACTGAAGTATCTAACTGAAGCACATTTTATGGGAGAAGTTCCTGGAAAACTCATTGTAAGCCACAGAAGACCTCTCTTTGAAAGTGTTAGTTCCAAGATGTATTTAAAATATATGCAATTTTTCATGATTCACACACTGAAAAGAGTAGGTTGCATTGATTTTCCCTCTATTGTTTGCATTTGGTTTAGTTTAGCGGTCTTAAGTAGAGAAAACGATATACTTTTGAGGGAGCGGGGGAGGTATGTGAGTTAGCAGCAAGAAGATTCTAAACCTAAAGAGGCATTTAACATATACTTACTGGTTCATTCATTCATTGGTCATTCTCATGACTAATAGCAATTGAGCACCTATTATACCAGGCACTGTGCTAAGTGCCAGATACACAGTGGTGAGTAAAAGACAGTCCCTGCCTTCATGGAGCTCGTGATAGTGTATTAATTACTACTGACAATTTTAGAAAATTATCTGTGGATTTTGTTCATCTATGATATTTCTGTGCCTAGCATCTTCCTTTTTTCACTGATAACAAGAAAGGTCTAATTCTTGGTTATCAGTCTGACATATAGATTGATCAATTGTGATTGTACAGCAGATAGTAGCAGCTCATATGATATGACAAAAATGCAACTGGCAACCTAAAGAGGTGAAGCTAAGCTATGTGTCAATAACAGTTACATATTGTAACACGACCACTATAAGGGCTTGGCACCAGTTGGAAGTAAATGGAGGGCCGAGGGCTCCTAGGAATGCAGTGTGGATGAGTAAAAATGAGCGGGAGCCATGAAATGTCTCTTAAATTGTATGGATGAAAGGAATGCAATTATGGTCAAAATGAAACATGAATCTTTTATCGTATGTCCCTAATCGATAAATTGGGTAATTTATTGGACTTATATGTCTTTAAATAAAGGAAATTTGTTATTCAATAGGTCTCATAATAGGCATGCAGAAAACCATTCATCTTTAAAACAAATTACTTAGTGAGTTTTCTTGGAATAATGGAATTACCTACGATAAGTGGAACCTAAGAAATTGAGTGGAAAGTTGAGATAAATAGCTTCCAATAGACAAGTGGCCCAGACTTTGGTTGAATCAACCATTACTTCAGGACACTAGTATCTTTGTGGATTATGAAGGTAGCTGCCTCCCAGATTCCTAAAACCCTGTGTTCCCATATCCCTGGCATTTGTACCTATTTAACCACAACACTACAACTGTTGCTTGTTGCACAGTGACTAGATTATCTGCCGTGATGGCCCAGTAGTCTTGGGCCATAGTCTTGGAACTGAGGGCATAGTCTTGGAAGCCAGATGGACATGGATTTGTAGTTCTGGCTCCACTACCTCCTAGACATGGGATTGTAGGTAGTGAAGTGTCTCTATGCCTCAGTTTTCTTACCCAGAAAATGGAGATTATAATCCTCAACTCATATGATCATGTGGATTACATAACTATATAAAACACTTGCTGCCATGCCTGGCACATGATAAATGGTGGCTACTACTACTTTATTATCATTAAACTGAAGTCTTCCTAACTGGTTCTTGTTTGCTACATGAATCCCCTTTAGTAACAAGTTTTGTGTTTGTTTTTTTTAACCTCTTGTCTCAGTTTCTCACCGGCTGTATTTTTTTCCCTTACTGAGCCCATATCCCAGAGGCTGCATCCCTGGCCTCCTGGGGCCCCTACTCCTGTGTGACACTTTTATTGAGCTCTCATCTCACTTCAGGTTTAATAGACATCCTAGCTTGTGGGCACTTGGCTCAGAGACGCAGTAGTGTCTAGTGGTTGAATGCATGGACTTTGGAGACAGACTGCTTTGGTTCAAATCCCAGCATTCTACTCTTCTACTTGCTAGCTGAGCGACCCGGGGTAAATTATTTCACCTCCCTGTGCCTCAGTTTCCTTATCTGTGAAATGAATTATACTTGTTTCATGTAATTGTTGTAGACATTAGATAGACTATTATATACTATTGTGTGTGCATATATTATATAATATATAAATACATAATACATAAATATTCCTTATCTGTGAAATGAATTATACTTGTTTCATGTAATTGTTGTAGACATTAGATAGACTATTATATACTATTGTGTCAGCATATATTATATAATATATAATTATAGTATATATAATATATAGTAACTGGGATTACAGGATTGCACCACCACATCCAGCTAATTATTGTATTTTCAGTAGAGATGGGGTTTCACCATGTTGGTCAAGCTGGTCTTGAAATCTTGACCTCAAGTAATCCACCTGCCTCGGCCTCCCAAGGTGCTGGGATTACAGGCATGAGCCACCATGCCCGGCAAGGTCTAAAATATGTTTTAAAATGAAATTGTTTTTATACTATTTTTATTGTGGTAAATGTACATAACATAAAATTTGCCATCTTAACCACTTTTAAGTACACCATTCTAGGGTATTAAATACATTCATAATGTTATGCAACCGTCACCA